TCACCTGCGTCACCTGCGTCACCTGCACCACCTGCACCCCCTGCACCACCTGCGTCACCTGCACCCCTGCATCACTTAAGATATAAAAATAACAACTAAATAAACCCAAAGAAAGTAGAAAGAAGAGGATAAATGAATGAAACAGAAAACAAAGAAACCATAGAAACATTCAACAAAGCCAAAGTTTGTTCACTGGGACGGCTAATGAAATGTGTGTACTAATCTCTGCAGGAATGATCAAGGAAAAAAGGATTCATAAATTGACAGTATTTGGAATAAAGAACGAGTATGACTATAGATATATTACAGATTAAAATGCTGATAAAATAACATGATGAGACGTTATTATCACGTTAGTGACGATACATTTTGAAATGAGACAAATTCTTAAAAATAACTATAATAATTGAAGTTACTGAGGAAGAAATTAAAAACTTGAAGAGCCCCACAGTTTAAAATAAGACATGTGAGTCAACACTTCCTCCTAAAGAAAGCTCCAAGCCTGGATCTTTCTAATTTTATCCAAACTCTTGCATCCTGTGAGACTGGTGTAGCACTGATGCCGAAACCAGAGACAGACTGCATGAGAAATTATAGCTTACCTCACTCACAAAGACGGAAAAGTCCTGGGCCAGCCTGGTGTCGCAGTGGTTAAGTGCACATGTTCTGCTTCTCGGCGGCCCAGGGTTCAATGGTTTGGATCCTGGGTGCAGACATGGCACCACTTGGCACGCCATGCTGTGGCAGGTGTCTCAGAATAGGTAGAGGAAGATGGGCATGGATGTTAGCTCAGGGCCAGTCTTCCTTAGCAAAAAGAGGAGGACTGGCAGTAGTTAGCTCAGGGCTAAACTTCCTCAAAAAAAAGAAGAAAAAAAAGATGGAAAAGTCCTGAACAAAATATTAGCAAGCAGCATCCAGCCATATACATAAAGTAAACGTACAAGTGAAATGTAAATACATCAGGACCAAGATGGGTTTATCCTGGGAATGCAAGGGTGACATGACATTGGAGATTCCTAAGCGTGATTCACACATTTTCAGACTAAAGGAAGAAAAGATTCTGGTAAAAACTCAGCAACCACAATGTTAAACGAAACAGAACAAAAACTTTCAGCAAACAAGGAATGGAAAGACATTTTTCTTAACTTCAAAAAGTATATCTACCGAAAGCCGACAACAAATGTAACACCTCCTGGATGAAACCTTCAGAAGCATCCCCTCCAACAGGGGTCAAGACAAGAAGGCATTCGCTCCGCTTCTGTCTAACACCGCCCTAGAGATCCCAGCTAGTGCAATAAGGCAAGAAAAAGAAATAAAAGTGTAAGAGGGTACTAAAGTGTCTCGTTCACAAACCACATATCTACATAGAAAACCCCAAAGAGATCTACAATCAAATCATTAGAAGTACTAGGAGAATTCAGAACGGTTTTTGGACTTAAGCTCTGTGTAGTAAAATCAATCACATTTCTGTACATCAGCAACAAACAGAAAGGATAATTTTAAAAAGATGCCACATATAATACCAACAGAAATATTAACTATCCACAAGTAAACCTAATAAATATGTGCAAGACTTTTGTGGCTGCATATTTTTAGTTGAGGTCTAACGTGTGTTCAGTGAAACTCGCCCTTTGCAGGGTACACTTCTAAGTCTTAATAAAAGCCTACAGCCACGTAGCCACCACCACCTTCAGGATAGAGCGCATTTCCACCACCCCAAAAAGTTCCCTTGTGCCCCTGAAGCTGTCGTCGTGGGCCCAGCGTCCTGTGTTCCCAGGGGAATGTGTGCGACAACCAGCAAAGCACCGTCCTGTACCAAGGGGCTGAGCTAGGGAGCAGGGTCAGTGGTGACAGAGGACAGGACAGATGGAGAGGTTCCACTAATGTGATCCCAATGGATAAAAACTAACAGCTTCTCAGGCACAGAGGAGTTGGACGTTTTTGTATAGTGGGGCCAACAGTCTTCCCCACACCCATAGGTTTCTCCAACCCTGAGCCCTGATACACAGAGAGGTTAAGTTATGTGCCCAGAGTCACACAGCACATGGGAGGCAGAAGTCCCAAAAACTCTGTCCCTCCACATCCACAGACCCCCTCACTGTGCCCCTCCATAAACACTTCCCCCCAGTTGTGAACTCCTCTTCCCGGCCTTTTTCTTCAGCCCAGAGCCCTGGAAATGTATAGATGATAATGAGGGGAGGCGAATGTAGAAATCTTTTAAGGACGACTTTTAAATGGATCCATGAAACAAGGCCTCCAACGGGAAATCTAAATCCTATCAGACGAGGTAATAGAGGCAGTGAATCCTTGGAGGCTGGAGCAGCAGAAATGAAATCATGGGAAAGCCCCTGGCCTGGAGGAGGTGCCGGGCTGAGACCATCGCAGCCTCGGCCACCTCTTGACCTCAGTCCCAGGCTCCACCGTCAAGGCATTCGTGTCCCCAGGAGCAAGGGTCCTGGCTCCTGGCCCACCCCACCCGGGAACCAGGTGGCCCCCGGGATGGAGGACTCAGTGCCCCCCCGGGGCAACAGCCAAGCCCGTTCACACCGTGTCCCCAGAGGCCAGCACAGCAGCAGTGGGGCATGTCTGCCGGGTGAGTGGGGGGCTGGTGGAGACTGGGCACCCTCAGGCCTCTGCACACAGAGCTCCCCACCCCACCTCCAGGGAGGGCCGCTCCCCACACGTCTGCCTGTCAGCCTCCTGCCCAGGTTCCGATTCCCCAGGGCTCCCTCGGGATCCTCCAGCACTGTGTGGTGACAGCCAGACTCCTTTCATCTCCCCAACTAGGCTCTGAGCATCTCTAAGGCCGGGACAGCTGGGCCCAAACAAACCTTGTTTTACCCACTTATGCGCTGTGTGACCTTACGCAGTCGCTTAACGCCCCTGTGCCTGTTCCTTATTTGTAAAACAGGGTTAATAATAGCACCTGACTTGTATGCATTTTACTTGAGAAGATTAACTGAATGGGTGCCCAGAAAACGTTATTGACAGTTAGCATCTCTGTGCCCCCAGTGCTTAGGGTCTGGGAAACACTTGTTGAATGACTGACTGACTGGGCAGAGGACTTTGCCTTCCTGTGACCTTGCCTTGTCCCCTATCTGGTAATAACACAGTGGCCAAGCAGCAAGGTGGAGGCTGAGGAACACAGACTCCAGAGCCAGGCTGCCTGGGTTCACATCCCAGCCCTCCGCTGACTCCCCGCTGTGTGACATCAGGTGGCCCTCTCAGCCTCTCTGTTCCTGCACTGTAAATGGGGATGGGTGCCCTTGTGCCCTCCTTGTAGAACTGTTGGGGGGTGAAACGGATGATGCATAAAAGATGTGCAGTGAGTGCTGAAGAAGTCACTGTCATCACAACCATTAATAAAAATGACTTCCCTTCCCGTCGTGCGCCCCGCCCTCCCCGGAAAGGCTGGAAAAGGCAGGCGGGGCGGCGGGAGGACAGGAGAGCGATGAGGCCGTGATCAGCGCAGTCAGGAGAGGCTGACAGATGGAGCCAAGTCCAGAAAGGATTTAGCAAGGCCCTCTGGTCGGCCATAAATAAAGTGCTGGAGCCGGAAGGAGGTGCCACCCCAGAGACAAGGCAGCAACAGATGGCGGGCCAGCCACCGCTCTCCCCGCAGCAGCTGTCAGCAACCCCGCCGGAGCCCCAGCACTGCGCCTGGCTGGCCAGCAGTTACGCGGTTTACGGAGGAAACCAAGGCACAAAGAGGCTAAGAAACTCGTCCAGGGCTCTCAGCTAAGACATCCACTGAGCCAGGATCCGACGCCTGAAGCCCATGCCTTAGAGCTTCACAACAGTGAACGGTGGCAACAGGGAGCCACTGAAGGCTACGGAGAGCAGGAGTGGCCCGGTCATTCTGCGTGGGGCTGAGTGACGAAGAGTTGGAGGATGAGGATGGAGGTGGAGACCCGGCGCCACACTCTGGGTTCTGCGGTGATGGCAGCAGATGGGCGACCCTGAGATGAGCAGGTCCCCGAGCCTCCTCCGACAGGCGCTTCCCACGCCTTCATCACAGGTCGGGTGGCCCCTGGGGTCCCCCTGCACCTCCTGCTCTGCCTGTGCTCCCCTCAAAGGTTCAAAGGCAGCCTTCGGATGCTTGGAAATGCAGCGATATCGGAGGGGTGACTCAGGATGCCCTGTTTTTGGAAGTCCCCATCTTCCCTTCGCTGGGGGAGGCTGGCACCAGTCGCTTAGGCGGCCTATTCTGTTGTTTCCCTGCAGGTGACATATCCAAAGGGAGGAGGCGTTTCCCTGGGCGCCCTCAGTCCTGGCCCAAGGCTGCGGGGGCGGGGCACCGACAGGTGGGCATCCTCCCCAGAAGCCTGCAGCCCCCGCCCTGCTGGGAGAGACCCCGATGGGTCTGCGAGAATAGCAAAATAGGAAATTCATATTAATTTTCTGTTTAGCCAGGATCTGGATCTCAAATCAGGCCCTGAGCCGATTCAGATTGACTGCAGCCTGTCTCCTGGGCCGTCAATCAACGCCCGGTCCCCGCGGCAGCCCGCCTGGTCTGTGGTGCAGCACAGCTCAGTGCACCCAGACCGGGTGCGAGGGTTTGTAGCAAGACAGGCCAGCGATGTCGCCTGGGCCCTGCCTCTGCAGGCCAGGCCACCCCGCCCCCCTGGTTTCCACACCAGCCCTCCCCACAAAATTCTCCAGTTTGATGTGGGGTGGATTTTTTCCAGCTTGATTCAGGTGTAATTGACAACACTAGGATACTTAAAGTGCACGTCGTGATGACCTGATACACGCGTGCATCATGAAAGGATTCCCCCCACCTGGTTAATTAGCAGATCCACCGTCTCACATATTTATCTGTTTTTGTGAGAACGTTTAAGTTCTGTCTCGGCAGATTTCAGTTGAACAGTACAGAGTTATCAACCATCGTCCCCGTGCTCTGCATCGCCCCTCAGAACTTACTCACCCTACGGCTGGAGCCCGTACCCTCTGACCCACCTCTCCCTGTTTCCCCGCCCCCAGCCCCCCGCACCCAGCTTTCTACTCTTTGCTCCTGTGAGTGACTCTTTTAGATTTCACATGTAAGTGACATCATGCGGCATTTGTCTCTCTCAGTCTGGCTTATCTCACTCAGCGCAATGCCCTCAAGGTCCGTCCCTGTCGTCACAAATGACAGGATGTCCTTTCTCGCGGCTGAATAATATTTGGATGCGGCTTCTTCCCATTAACTTTGCTGAACTTTGCCATCTGCCACCATTTGTCTGCTAGGGAACCAAGATAAGACTCACTCGTCCACTCTTCATGACTTCGCCTGATCCCGTGGCCCACCCCCCGCCTGGCATGGCTGACTGCCGCCTCAGCCGGCACTGGGACACCCACAACACTGCGGCCGCACGGCGTGGCCGGCCCCCGGCGCCTTCCATCCACTCATGCCTCTGGGAGTCGCTCCCCTCCCCGAGCCTCGTTTTCCTCACCTGCGAGATGGGAACAACGTGACCTGCCGCAGGGACCTGGCACGTGCCTGCATCTCATCTAGGAAGCATCCAATTCACACAGCAAGTATTTATTTAGCGCCTCCTGCATTCCAGGCCCTGTCTGAGGGTGGCGGGGGCAGGGGTGGACACCACAGTGAACAAAACGGACCAGTCTCCCTGCCTCCGCGGAGCTGATGTTCCTGGACACCGGTCCTCAGCGAGGGGCTGTCTTGTTCCCCAGAAGACACCTGGCCGTTTCTGGAGACAGGTTTTGTTGTTTTGGTTTTTTTTGAGGAAGATTAGCCCTGAGCTAATTGCTGTCAATCCTCCTCTTTTTGCTGAGGAAGACTGGCCCTGAGCTAACATCCGCGCCCATCTTCTTCTAGTTTATTTGTGGGACGCCTGCCACAGCATGGCTTGATGAGTGGTGCTAGGTCCACGCCCAAGATACCAATTGCTGAACCCCAGGCCGCTGAAGTGGAACATGTGAACTTAACCGCTGTGCCAACAGGCCGGCCCCTGGAGACAGTTTTGGTTTTCATAACCCTGGTGGTGGGAGTGCTACTGGCATCTGGTGGGTGGAGGGCAGGGATGCAGTCCACTGGTGGACTGGGGCCCTGGCCCCCGTGGGCTGTGGCTCCTCGGCAGGTGGCCTGACCCTCTCTCTGAGCCTCGGTTCTCCCATATGTAAAACAGGGACAGTGTTGGCACCTACCTTGTGTGACTGTTTCAGGGTCAAATGGGACCTGGCGTGGGAAGTGTTCAATCATGGTCCACACAGCGGTGGGGGGACATGGAAGGTTCTGGAACACCGAGAGGAGGGAGTGGTGAGCATGCCATTGAGAGGCAAAGGAGCCCAGAGAGGCTTCACTGGGGAAGGGGCACAGCTCGGGTCTCGAAGGCTGAAGTTCACCAGGTCAATAGATGAGGAAGGAAGGGGAGACGTCCCACTGGGTGGGCCTCACTGGGGTGCAGCGGGAGACGCGTGTGGAGACACTGAGGGACAAGCAGGGACGAGGCAAGAGATGACACTGGAGAGGGCCTGGGGCCATGATTGACAGACCTGGGGCTTGACCTCATCCTGGCCTCCTAACTGCCACTGACAGCCTGTTCTCGAGTCAGCAGCCAAAGGGGTCCCTTAGAACCCAAGGTCAGAGCCTCCCCACATTGCAGGCAGAGCCCAAGCCGCCTCCTTACAAGAGGCCTTGACCTGCGCCACTCAGACCTCATCCCGTGAGCCCCTCCCCCGCCCTCCCCCTCGGCCCCTCTGCTCTGGCCACACTGGCCTCCTTGCTGTTCCAGAAACACTGCTGGCACACCCTGCATCAGAGCCTTTGTACCTGCCGTCCCCTCTACCAGGAATCCACTCCCACCAGCACTCCAGGCTTTGCTCCAACCCCCTTCAGGCCTCTGCGCAGTCGCTGATGACGTCACAGAGAACAAGGTCTTTGAGCTGGGCCTTGAGGATGAGTAGGGGGTTGTCAACTGGAGGGAGGGAGGCCCCTCCAGGCAGATGGGTCCTGTGTGGCTGGAGGGAGCCCTGTGGGAGAGGCAGGGCGGATGGATGGAGGCCCAGCCGGAAGGCCTCTGAGAGCTGACACGGAGGAGAGAGCGAGGAGGCATCACGACTCCTCAAAGGGGTGGGGATCACAGACAGTGGAGTGTCAGGAAGGGGAGCTCTGAGAGTCTGGCCCAACCCAGAACGGAGGGACAGAGGGGACACTGCAGTCGCCAGCTCCGCCCCACGTCCCTCACCCTCCTTCCTCACTGCATCCTCACAACCCCATGGCCAGGACGGGTAGCTCCATTTTACAAACATAAAATGAAAGACCAGCGCCCCCCTCACCCCAGGGTAACCCGGTCTGGATCCAGCTGCGTCGCTCCCTCGATTTCCTGCATAGGTAGACTTGCCATCCACACGCATTACCAAAAGGCACATCCTTCACTTGTTTTCAGATCTGTAGGAAGTATACACGCTTATTTACTCCATAATCTTCTAGACCTGCCTTCTCTCTTACCCCATCTCGTTAAGATGATCCATTCAGTTGAGCAGAGCTGAGCGCTTCCTTTTGCCTGCTGCATAGCATTCCACAGGGTGAATATCCCATGGTTGACTCTTCTCCTCTCTGGCTAATACGCACTGGGGTGGTTTCCAGGCTCTGCGAGCAAGCCAAGAGCTGCTCTGAACACTGTGCCACGTGGCTCTTGCTGTGCCAACGGAACTGCTCTGTCATCAGGCACGTGAATGCCCACCTGTAGGAGGTCATGCCATCCTGTTTCCAAAGGGGTGGCACCAATCTGCCATCCCACCTGCTACAGACAAGCCATCTGATCAGTCCATATCCCTGCCAATGATTGGTTGATGTGTAGGCATGTGATGTCCATCTGGCCAATGAGAGTGAGGAGAGGGCTGCCCAGGGGATGCTGGGAAATTCCCTTAATCCCAGTAATGACTGATCCTAACCCTAACCCTAATCCTGATTCTAATCCTGACTCACAGGGAGAGACAGGCTCTCCTCTGTGTGTGGACATGATGCTCCAGCAGAGCAGAGAGGTGGAAAACCTGGGTCCTAGGCGCCCATCACGGAGCCCTTGAATTAACGCCCCTGGGGCTGCCCTGCCTTTGGGCTTCAGCCTGTTCCAGGGAGCTGTGAATTTCCTCCTTGTTTCAGTCATTCTGAGCTGGGTTTGCTGTTACTTTCAGCCAAATGTGCTCCGACTGCCTCCCAGACTCATTCTCCAGCCATTCCATGTGACTCACTCTCCTGTTTAGCAAATTCTTCTTCTGCTTAAATCAGCCGGAGTGGATTCTGTTCCTCGCCTCTTATAACCCTGATGATGCAGAGGAGAGTCTGAACTCGGGCCCGTCTGCCAACGAGCAGAGGTGCCGAGACAGGGACCAGGGAGTGTGTCTGGAGACGGAGATTCGAGAGGAGGTGGAGCGTAGGCTAGAACTCCAAGAGTCACCCACGCCCTCTTGAGTGGGGACCCCAAAGGGCACAGCAAGAACACAGCAGGCGTCAGACCCTGGAGGGACTTGAAGGCCAAGGACAAGAATGTTGACATTCTTCTTTGTTTTTTTAAAACCAATCCTGATTATTCTTGACCCTGAGTACACATCTTTTCCATCTTCTACGTGAGGAACGGCAAGCACGGGGTGAAGGTTTCTGCCGCACAGAGAAGCACCAAGGCTATCGCCAGGAAAGCTCTCGTGCGGTGGTTCTGAGTTGTGAGTTGACTTTTTTTTTTCTTTAGGAAGATTAGCCCTGAGCTACCATCTGCTGCCAACCCTCCTCTTTTTGCTGAGGAAGACTGGCCCTGAGCTAACATCCGTGCCCATCTTCCTCTGCTTTATATGTGGGACACCTGCCACAGCATGGTGTGCCGAGTGGTGCCATGTCCACACCCGGGATCTGAACCGGAGAACCCTGGGCCGCCAAAGTGAAATGTGCGAACTTAACCGCTGTGCCACCTGGCCGGCCCCTGACATTATTCTTAAAGTCACGAGATTTTGACCAAGACAATCACCTACTGAAATTTACATTTTAGGGGCCTAGGAGGGCTCTGGCACCCTCTGAGCTCCCACTGTGGGCCGGTCAGGTCCCCACACCATCTCGGCTGATCCACACAGCCCCCTCTGAAGGAGAGATTATTCTCTTTTCCCAGATGAGCGGCCTGGGGCATGAATGGGCCCCCAGCTGGTCAGGGGCACAGCAGGAATTCAGACAGATACCAGACCAGGCTTTTTCAACCTTATCCTGCTGCTTCCCCCTTCAGCCTGCTGCCTCTCCACGCGTTAGAAGAGAGTGGCACCCCGGGTCTGACCTTGCCAAAATTGTCCGCTCCTCTAGGAAGGAAGAAATCTCTACACTGATCAGCAAAATGTTTCTGTAATTCTGGAAACCCAGTGACCAGGTCACTAGCTTTCAGGCTGTCTTGTCTCACAGCTGCTGAGGCTGATAAGTGACGTTCCATCTTTTTAGGCTACATTAATTTAAATAAAGCCTTTACCGGATGACCATCCCTGTCTGTGTGTAACGAAGTAAGCTGAAAAGTCCTACAGCTCTGAGGGCTCAGAAAGAGAGAAAGGTCGGACTTTGCCAGGGTCTCCAGGAACCACGGGCGGATCTTAGACCCCGGCCATGTGGCAGAGGCCAGAAACTGCCCTGCCTGTGCTGGTGGCTGCGATGCAGGGAGCCAGCCAGGACCCCGAGGTGAGCACACTGCAAGAGTCCTCTCGGCCTGAGCAGGTTGCACAGGGCATGCAAGTTTAGAGGCTTCTATAGAAGCCCAGGGACAGTGACGGGGGAGCAATGGTTCCCACCACCTATGGGGGCCTGGCTCTCTGGGGAGAGATGCTCTTTGACTCTCCCTGTCACCCCTAAGCTAAGTGCTGCCCTTACCACCCGCATTGTGCAGGTGGGAAACAGGCCCAGGGGTGCTGGGGGACCGGTTCCTGCATTTGAACCCAGGGTTATCTGATTCTGAGTCCAGGTTCATTCACCTACCCCTCACTGCATGAGCACAGAGTACAGGGGGAGGCTGAAGACACCAGGCAGGCTTCATGGAGGAGGAGGCATTTGCACTGAGCACTGAAGGCTGAGTTGGGGGGCAGTGGAGCAGGGAAAGGCCTTTTCCAGAAAGGGAAAAGTATGAGCTAAGGCACAGAGGAGAGCAGCCAAGAGGGCAAAAGCTGCAGGTCAAAACGCGTCCCGTTAAGGCCCCTACGAATTTCCCTTTTAAACTCATTTCAAAACGGGGAGCTGGAGAGACGCAGAGTCCCAAAGGAAGATCTGGTATTCACTTTCTCCTTGGAACAAAACTCCTACTCCGGGATTTTAAAATTCTCTTCCTCTTGAAAAAACATCTCCGGTTTCAAGGCTGCATTTTTGGCAACCTCGTTCCCCAAGCCTCTTGGCATTCAGGAGGCACAATGCGCTCAAAAAGAAGGCAGGCGGCGTCCACCCGACAGGCGGGGGCAGAGAAAGAAGAGGAAGACAGGAGGCCTATGAGGGGTTCTGGCGGGGGGGGGGGGGGGGGCGGGGGGGAGCAGGGGGGGGGCGGGAGGGCACCAAACAGAGGGAAGGGAAGGGACGCCCGCTGAGCGCCCTCCAGGCACATGCGCGCCGCACTGCTGCTAGACGGCGTCTTACCTCCCAGGCTGGCTTTCCGCTGGCCACCCTTGATGGTGCACCCGCTAGGTGCACGGCGCCACCAGCGCAGGGTCTCCTTCCCCATTGGAGAGGGAATTCACTTTCCAGATGGATTGGAAGGGCAGTTAGTGCAGGGGGACAAGCAGCAACCAAGACACCGGGAAGAGACGGCACTAATTAAATGCATGCCTGTGGCAGCGGGGGGGGGGGGGGGGGGGGGTGCGGGCAGGCGGCCCCGGGGCGGGTCCACTTCTTCAACCATCTGAGCACCCCCTCTTCCCTGGTGCTGGGGCCGTGCAAGACACAGACATAGGCCATGGGAAGCTCACAGCCCAGTGGAGGAGACAACATGGACAGCATGTGTGGAGGACGCTCCTCTGCCCCACACGATGGTGTGTCAGAGGACATGGTGCAAGCAGAGGCCCTAAGTGCACCTGCACTGTGATCTCAGCCTCTTGTGCTCTGGTGATCCACCAGGAGCCTGGCCACCGGAATGAGACATGTGGAGATCTGAAACCAACCCAAGGCCAGGAACCAAACCCTGCTGACCCAAAGCCTTCGCCAGACTTGCTGCAGCCACCCTGAAGACCCCTGAGTGAGAAAATCAGTGCTTCCTGTAATAAGCCACCAAATTTGGGGGGTAATTTGTTACACAGCATTATTGCAGCAATAGCTGACTGATACATAACAACAACATAGTACAATAATTACTTGGTTGGAGGTGGACCCAGAGCTCCAAGGAAGCCCTGAGGAGTTAGAGAAGGCTTCTGGGAGGCGGTGGCATGTGGACTGAGCCGTGAAGGATAAGGACGAGAGGAGAGTCAGAAGACATTCCAGGCAGATGGAGTAACCACGGAAAAGGAACAAAGGCAGGGCAGAGCACGGGCTTGCGAGGGAAGCTGCGCCACAAGACACTCAGTCTAACCAGAGCGTGTGGGACGTGACCATCACAACACCAGCCCAGCTGGAACACGGCAGAACAGGAAGCCCACACGGCCCATGGCACCTGCCAAGCCTGAGCAGGAATACTTCCTTGGTTAGCAATCTGGCCACCCCCATTTGCCCCGGGAGACGTCCCATTGTCCAGCGTCCTCCACAGCCCTGGTCCAGTTCTCCATGGGGAGGGGAGTCTGCTGGTCCCTGAGTGTCCATGGCACCTCTGAGTCGGGCATTGGAAAGCATACTGTTCATGCCTGGGGCCAGCCCCTTCCTGGCCCACCTCCCGCTCGTGCGACTCGAGGAGCCTGG